CCATCTGTTTGCAACACACCCGCGGAGTGCCCAAAGAAACTTGATGCCGATGGGAACCAAAGGCAGAAGATGCTGGCAGGTGATGAGGGTAATCAGCCCATCAGGCCCCTGCAGGGAAGCATCAGGGCAGTCACAGGCAGGCCAGGTCCCTGGGCATGTCTGGCCAGGAGAATTCTGGCCCTGAAGCTCCCAGCAGGGGCACTGGGAGGAAGAAGCTCAAAAAACCTCCCCATGTGCAGTGACTTAAGCTAATCTATCTGAGACAGCTCCTTGCAGCCCACGGGAAGCCTCTCCAGCACTGGTTACCTGTGTCACGCAGGGCACGTTCATTGGCCCGGACGGCCACTGGGTACCTCCAGGTGTTGGTGATCTTCACAATACAGCTTTTACTGAAACCCTGAACGACAGTGCCCATGTCCAGGATGTACTCAGGCAGCTCAACTCTGGAAGGAAGAGTAAGGACAGTCCTTAAACAACAGCGTGGCTACATGTTTAAGCAGCTCCAAAGCTCAGCGCGGCGCTGGGGAAGGGAGGACAGTCAGCTGCTCACGAGCTATTGCTGTCACAGCTACTGGGATCAGACCCTTTCTGAAGTGCCCACTGTTCCCAGCTCTGCATGTACAAGGAGCTCTCAGGAGCAGGGGACACTGCTGGGTGTTGCCCTCAGGGCACCTGCAGAGGGGACAGGAGTAGGGACTCACTGGACAAGCTTCTGAGGAATGTGCTTGTCAAAGACAGTGTCCTCTGGGGGGCGGGAGATGAGGGTTGGTTGCAGCCGCAGAGCATTTTCCTTTATCAGCATCCGCTCCATCTCCATCCTCAGCCAAGTGTTTGCCTGAGGGAAGGGAAGGCAGTGGCTGGTTAGCAAAGACCCTTCCCAAGGCCCAGGCTTGTATGTGAAAGAGGATCCCACCCTGCTCTTGTTGAGAGGGTGAATGGGGGTCCTCCTGTCTGGCTGCTTAGTGTCCGTGACACATTCTGCTCTCTTAGCCAGGACCTTCTCTCCAGGGAAATAACTGCAGCATCTGTGCCTTCCCACCTACTGCTAGAAAAGCTGATCTGGCCAGACAGACAAGCCAGCAGCCTTCCAGAGCTTCAGGTATTTGCCTGTCCCCAGCCAGTGCCAAAGCAGCTTGGACAAAAACTGCCTTGAAAAGGGAACCCCGACCCAGCTGGTGCCTCTTGGAGTTGAGCACTGCCAGCACGGTCCCAGGGCACAGTCAGGCTGCTGCTACTAAGGTCTGTAAATCTGCTAGGGCTTGATTTGGGAGCAACAAACTCCCCAGCAAGGGGAGTAGCCAGGAAGCTTGGTACATCTCCAGGAGAGACCATGACCAGAGGTGGGGCAACGCTGAGCTGATGAATGTTTGTGGTCAGGTGTGGGCAGGGAGGTCCCAAGTGCCAGCAGGGCACTGAGAAGCTGTTGTGGGGTGTTGTGGGGTGCCAGGGCCTCAAGTGACATGGGGAGGGTGGCATGTGCCAAATGGGACTGCAGCTGTTCTTACCACAATGTCAGGGCCCTTCACGTGTTGATTCCTGATTCGAGCCTTCCTCCAAACACGTGCTTTCTTGTCCTGCTTGTCTTTTTTCAGCTTTTCTTTCAACTGTTTCAGTAGCCTCTTATATTTTTCACTTCCTGAAGGAAGAAAACATTCACAAATAGAAGTGTGGGTGCAGTGCTAATGCCATTTAAGCTGAGAAGTCCCACTCCCCTGAATGCTGGTCTCTCCCAGACACAACCCATCGATGGAAAGCCATCTCTGGAAAGTGGACGCTGCTGCTTGTCTCTGAATCCTCATGGTCACTCCCACCTATCTTCCGCCCCACAGAGGAGCATCTCATCCCCTGCAGTGTCATGCAAATCCAACCCTGCCAAAAGCCCTGCCAGTCTCTTACAGCTTTCCCAAGCTCTTCTGTCTAGCCATCTTTCCAGGCCTCTGACAGATGTGCTGGCAAGAGCTGCAGGATGGTTCCTGGGACAAAGCCTATATGTGCTTGTCTGCTCAAGACTCAGGAAGCAACCAGAGGGGTGAGTGTTGGTCTGGCAGCCCTGCAACCTCCAGGCTTGGTGGAGATGGGTGTGAGCTGCCCTCTGGGCATTACGGTCGGGAAAAACCCCAGTGGGGACTTTGCTGGGGAGCAGACGGGCAGTGCTCACCTTTGATGCTCCAGGGCAGGTCCAGACAGATCGCGGCAAAGACCGCCACTCCTTTCAGGGAGATTTCTGCTGGTTTCAGGTGACCCACTTGAACCTGGAAAGTCCTGCAGAAGACTCCTGGCATTCCTGGCAGGTAAGAGAGCTTCAGCACTTGCTCCTTGCCAGGTTCAATGGAAGCCTGCAAGGGACAGGAGAAGAGGGAGGCAATGCATCAAAGAGGGTGTGATGGAGGAAGGCTCAGGCCACAGACAGGCTGAGAAGAGAAGACAGGTTCTCATCTGGAAGAAAACGTCAGACTACATCACCTTCTACCTTCCTCGTACCCAAAAGCTCGAGCCTCCAAGGCGAGGGTGCAGAGGGTGCAGTGTGTCCTTCCGAGGGCTCCTAAGGCTGCACCCCCAGCAGAGCCTGCCCTGTGCTCAGCGTGAGCACGGCTCTGCTGCTAACGGGGTTTGCCCTCTGCCGGCAAGAGCCAGGCTGAACAGATAAAAGCTCTTTTGCCACCACTCTGGAAGAGGAGTGAAGTGCCCACGCTCTCAGCAGAGCCAGCAGCTCCTGTCACCCCTTGTAGGAGACAGGCAGGAAGAAATGGGAAAGCCAAAAGGCTTCCTCTTCCCATTGCAAAGAGGGACAAAGGAACACTGCTTCACCTCAAAGACATCCAGGCAGCACTGAGAAGCTGGGACAGTGGTGGGATGCTCCAAATTCCTCTCTTTGCTCTTCCAGCCCCACTCCTCCCTGACCCCCTCACTGCCCCACAAAGCTGCTCCAGAGCAGCACAGCTTGGGGGAGGGAAGGACCAGCACAGGGGCTGAGACTATTTCTGGCAGAGGAGCTTCAAGCCCAAGCAAGGAATATGTAAGTGCTGCTTAGTGCTGGCACGGGGGAGGCACGGGCAAGGAATAATTCCTGTCTGATCCCACAGCTGGGGTAAGGTGACCCTCAGAAGAGCCTCAGTGCCAGCACAGCCACAGAGCTCAGCAGTCGGGGGCCAAGGAGTGACCAACATGCTCGTGCCTCCCGCCGGTGGCTGCCCTGGGATGGCAGAGCCACTCGGCAGCCAAGGCCACAGGGAGTCTGTCAGGATGGCACTTGCTTGACCTTTTCTGCCCCCAGCAGCAACTGCTTACAGCTCTGTCTCTCATGGCTGGGTTTGGTTTTGTTTTCCCCCCCTTTTTCTCTTTAACCCTCTCCTTGGCCACCTGATACAGGGCTGGTGTCAGTCAATTGTGCCACTCACTGTGTTGGGCAGGACCTCGAGCACACCAGGCAGAGGGTTCTTTGCAGTGCCAGTGCTGGGGCTCTGTACCACGTAGGTGAATTTGATCTTCCCGTTGTTCTGCAGGGTGACCTCTGCTTTAAGGACTTCATTAAAGAGCTGAAGAGAGGACAGAGGAGTGGGAAGTTACAGACACAGGCCTGCTGCTGGGAATCTCCTTCCTCTTTCATGGGGTTGAAAGCAGACACACCGCAGGAGCAGGGACTGGGGATGAGCTACAGGCACTTGGGAATGTGGGGAACCCCCAGGCACAGGGACCTGCACAGGAACAGAGAGTTCTGGCAGCACGCAGAGGGGCAGGAACAACCATGGGAGGGCCAGCAGTTAATGAACCAGGGGACATGGGCCCTCTGCACTCTGAGGGGTCACCAACAGCCAGGAGAAACAAAGGAGGCAACATCGAGGCATTCCAGAAGAAAAGGCACCTGCATGCAAGTATTGGCAAGCAACATACCAGCAAAAAGGGAGACAGATGGGGCACCAAGACAGAGACAGCAGCTGGAAAGATCTGTGGATTTTAAACTGAAAAGTAGTAAAGTGGGGATTATTCTGGGACATTCTCTCCAACTGCAATGACGGGAAGCCCAACTGGGTTATTTTGTGGATTAAGCAACAGCATTAAGCAGGAGCATCTCGTTGGAGCTCAGGCTTTAGGAGTGTGGATCAGCAGAGGGATGTCTCAGGGACATGTTGCTCTGGACATCCCCACTGGGATCCTGCTTGCTCCAGGAGGCAGCATTAGGTACCCTGAAGAGAAGGAATTCCTAACGTTTTGGAGGGGGGTGGAGATGGCCATTACAAAGCAGTCTGGATGCCAGACATATCCCTCCAAGGTTGTACTTCCAAGCCCCAGAGCCAACGAAGGAGCTGGGAAGGGGAGAGAGCCCTGGGCCAGGCTGGGCAGCAACCTGCTGGTGATGGTCCCAAGGCAGCAGCTCTGCCAGGAGAAGGGGGTGGTACCTGCAGCCCAAAGTCGATCTCCTTGACGCTCAGGTGGTAGGTGAGGACCGAAGTCTCCCCCCTCAGCTCCACCTTGTAGGTCGGGCCTCCCTCCACCTGGCACAGGGCCGTGACATGGGCCATGATGTCGGCGTGGCCAAAGAAGGTGAAGGCCACCTGCTGGCTGTTGCCTGGCTGCAGCACACCGGACACCGGCTGGACAGCGAAAACCTGCAGGAGGGGAGGGGGGATCGAGTCGTCGAGCGTGGAAATGGGTGCAGAAGAGCAGCCGTGGCTTGGAGCAAAGTACAACCGTAGCTGGAGGGGCCTATTCCTCAAACACCAGCCAGAAGCATCCTAATCTCATCCTGCCTCCATGCCACTGACCAGTGGAGGGAGCATGGCGAAAATCTTCTGCCATACTCACTGCTCAATGCATTAATTAATACCAGACATTAAAGTAAACTGGGATGTCTCCTGGCAGCAAGACATTCTCTCTGCCGCAGAACTTGCCTTTAAAACCAGTTTTTACTGCCTTCAGAAAAGCAGGAGACTTGGAGGTGAGAGCTCTTGGAGCTGAGGGAAGGACTCCAGCCCAGCTCACCTGACTCCTGAGGCTTTTCCCTCTCTCTCTGACTTACAGGCTGCTCACCAAAAGATCCTGAAAAATATCCTGTTGAGCACCTGATGAGGTACCAGGGGAGCAATGCCCTCCATGGGTGCTGCACAGGAAGTTCTGTAGCTCTGGGGGCAACAGACCTGCTTGCCACGCTGAAAACGTGCAAGTGAGAGAGATTCCCACTCACCTCCTCCGCTCTGAAGCCAGGGGGCTTTGCCTCCTCTGACTGCCCAGACTCCTCCGTCTCTGCTGAGCTCTGAGGCCCTGCAGCAGTGGATGGTGGCACCTGGAAGACAAGGCACTTTCCATTCCAGGACACAGCCACCTTGCCAAGTCTCACTCTATAAAAGCCAGCTCTGGGGCTGTCACTGCAATGCTGGCACTTGGGTGAAGGCAGAGACCCAAAAACGGGTGGTCTAGCTGGGTTGGGAAGGGCATACATGGAGATCAGGATTTGACACGGCTTGCTACAGGAGGGAAACTGGAAGCCTTCTCATCATGATGCAGAAAAGCCTCATTTTACATTGTAAGGAAAATAAACCAAAAAAATCCCAAACTCAGCATAGGTCTGTAGGATCTGAGTGGGCTTCTCCAAGGAAAAGTATCCTATTTCTCCCTCCCCAGACGCCCCATGTCCAGCCACTGGCCCTGCTGCCCAGCCCACTCTCAGGGCACAGAACAGCAGGGCAGCAAAAGGGGAGGTCGGCACGAGCACGGCTTTTTGGTGGCAAGCTGGGGGAGGCAACACAAGTGGCAGGTGCACAAGAAAACCCACCTTTGGTTCCGGGGAGTCTTCTGAATGAGATGACTTCTGGGAAGAGTCCTGCTTTGTTTCCGGGAACTTCTCTGGTGATGACTGTTCAGGAGAATCGTCCTCTGTGTCCAGGGAGTCCTCTGAATCTGATGACTCTTCAGAAGAATCCTGGTCTGTTTCCACACAGTTCTCTGACTCTGATGACTGTAGGGAAGAATCTTGCCCTGATTCCAAGGAGTACTCTGAATCTGATGACTCTTCAGAAGAATCCTCTTCTGTTTCCACGCAGTTCTTTGATATCTTTTGGGAAGAACCCTCTTCTGTTTCCTGGCAGTGTGCTGACTGTGGGGAAGAGTCCTGCGCTGCTTCCGGGGCTTTGGCTGGCTTCTGCACACTGCCAGGCCTGAAGTACCTCCTTGAATACCACCCACACTCATCACAGCCGAACGTGAACATTTGTGGTTGGCGTTTGGAGGTAGCTGGGGAAGGTATGAACCTGGAAAATAACATAACTATGATCACGGACCTGCAGTGGGAGAGAGGGACACCTGCACGAGGAATTCCTCATCAGGATGCAGCCCCTGGGTGGGTGCAGGTGAAGTGAGCTCAGAAAGGGGGTGTCTCAGAAAAGGAGAAGGAAGGGGAAGGTAACAAGATGTTCAGCATCAGCTCAGGTGCTAACTAGCTCTTTCTGTGGTGTGAATTGGGACTTTCTGGGCATCCTCCAGCACTTCCAGGCCAAGGCTGGGAATGCAGAGAAGGCAGCAAGGAGCAGAGAGCAGTTTCTCTGCTTGCAGAGAGGACCCACCCTATAGCAGAGAGGCCAAAGGGTTGGGAAAGTGCCTCCACCAGCACTGTGGAGCTGGGACTAGGAGCCCTTCACCAAGGTCGTCACTGCCTCAGGCCACAGAAGGCTGAGAAAGCAGATTTCCCCACCAGCTTTCCTTCCTAGAGGAAACCAGTAGGGGGGCTACAGCAGCACCAAACTCGTGGAAAACACCTATCCCTTGAGCATCCAGCCTGACCACAGCTGGTTGGTGTTATTTCCACAAGGGGAAGTCAAAAGGAAAACAGCTTTGGTCTTTGCAAAGTACAAACAGGACATCTGGAAAAAGAGCTTCCAGGAGGGGGCAAAGGTGCACATACCCTGTTGGGTACTTCCTGCTGTCCACCTGGAATGACCAGTGGTAGTGGGCAGGAATGGGGCTGCAGTTGGTCATCTCCAGGTAACGCACATCCTCTGAGCCACTCACGATGCAACCGAAGTCGAATGCTTTGGTCCGGATACGGAGATTCGGGAAGTAGACCTCTCCCCGAACGGTGATCTCTTCCTCGTAAGGATGTTCCACAAGCCGGATCTTCATAGTCTTCTCTGCTACCCAGCTGATCGGATCCTTTTCATAAGCTGGGTTAAAGCTGATGTAGAGATGAAGTTCCTGCCCTGCCTCCATCTTCACAGGCTGCTAGGAGACAAGGAGTGTCAGTCACCCACACGATGAAGTCCCAAGGTCTGACAGCATGAAACCGCAAACACTCAAAGTGTGACCCCAGCACAGGCTTCCCAGTCCACCCTTCAGTTCTTTACAGGGGAGGGTCTGACTGCAAGCACCACACTCCGGTGGGGGACTCTCAGGCTCCTGTTTCTGTGCTCAGCAGCAATACAAGAGGATGGCTGCTGGAGAGCTGGGGTGCTCTCCAGGAGACACCTCTGCTGCATGGCTTGCCCACACCTGGCTGCCTGCTCCCTTCTCCTTGTATCTTAGAGCCAGGAGGGATCTTTCCAATTCAGATGAGTTCTTGCTTCCTTCAGCAGCTCTGCTGACTCAGTTCACAGTTCAGGCCAGTCCACTGCTGACTCTATGGAATAAACTTCTCGACTCGAGGACCTCCCAACAGAAGGGCACCACCACAGCCCTCCCTCTTCAAAGCCCACTGGCAGGAGGGTCCTTGGCTGCTCACCTGGGCCCTTGCAGGGAGGGGCTGCTGGTTTGCATCACAGATTAGGAATGGCTGCTCCAAGTCCAGCAAAAGGTGGAATGGCAGGCAGCAGGTGTTTTTTAAAGACAGAGGCTTGTACTGAAGAGTCAGGACATCATCGGGGTACTACAGAAACAGGAGACAAGGAAAAACAACCTCAAGGAGCCACAGACCTCCTTCCCCTTCCAATGCATTTCACATTTTTCAACCTCAGAAGTGCATACATCTCTATTTACTCTTTTTATTTGTTTCTAAACCTTCCAGGACATTTTCCTCTATAGCTGATTCTTTGCATGTTTGGAAACCACAGTCTCCCTTGGGAGACAAGGAAACACTCCCATGTACAGAGGAGGGAATAGACCCCTGAGAGGAGGCAGCTGCTTGAACAAAATTGAAGGCAGAAAATGACCCCAGAACGTTTGTGTCCAATTTTGTCTCCTCTCTTGGGCACAACAGCACAAGACGATCTTCCCTCACATATAGTCATTTCTCACAGCCTTATTGGCTCCAGCAGCCTCCTAGAAGCAGTGATGCCAGTCAGAAGAGAAAAGCAAGCAGGATTTGGCCCGTGGTGGAGATCCTGCAACAGCCCAAGGTCTACTTTGAACATTCCATGAACATGTGGCCAGCCAGAAACCTCAACAGTCCCTCTGCAATGTGTGTCCTGCTGCCTCTGCTACAGGCACATGGTGTCTATAACCTCAAAGCTATAATCAGCCTAAGCTCCTTCTTCTTGTTTGTGCATTGTGGTGGGCTTCTTGCATGGTGCAGAGAAACCAGAGAGAGTTTGGGAAACTAGTTCTGGATGTATTGATATCAAACAGCTGCAGTGCCAGAGTACTCCATAAATCAGTGTGGCATCAAGCAGAGCACAGGCAGGCATCGGGGAGAGCTGAAAAGCTTCTCATTACATCTGAACTGCCCGTTCCCAGGATTCAGTGCTTCTATGGAAGCCTGGGAACCTGAGGAGAGACCCAAAACCACAGAAACTAAATAATGCAACATCTTTTCCAGACCCCTTGTGGGAATGATGATGCAGAAGTTGGGATCCAGAGACTAAAGGGCACCTGCTTTGCCTTGGTGGCATCATCACTGCAGCTGCAGGACGTGTGGGAGTCCTTTGAAGCAGGTGAGGCTTGGGAAAATGCACAGAGCTGTACCATAGAGCTATACCATAGAGCATCCATACCAACAGCAAAGACACACAGGAGATGACAAGTTTTTCCTCATCAGCCTGAGGAATTGACAGAAACCTCTGGTTTCCCCAGCTTCCCTAGAGCACTGGTGTTCAGACATCACTGTGTGTTGGAGGATCCTCAAAAACCTCCCTTGACAGTGAGCACAGAAACTGGCGTTTCTCTCCAGGTGGCCACGGTCCCCCTCAGCAGTGCAGCTGTAGCCACAATTCTACTTTGAGGAAGTTAAAAACCAGTCTTATCTCTAAAAACATCCTCACTTTGCAAAGTGCCTCAGGAAGGGTAAAGAGGGGTGTTAACACAAGCACACACACCCCCCACGAGTTCTCTTGCTGAGCCATGCTGTTAAATGCCAGGATGCAATCCAGAGACTTACCTTCTCCACATAGAAAGTGTTTGCTCCGTATGATATTTGCACAGTGGGAGAAATGAACTTGCAGGTGACTTTTGTCTTGATTATCTGTTTCTTTGTTATCTCTGGCTCCACGATTGCCTCACACACAAGCTTCTCCTCCACGTCCTGCATGCAAGAGTCACTTGTCACCAGTGCTGCTGGCAGGGTGTCCAGCAAACTCCCTGCATTGGCTCCTCACCCCCCACGGGCCACAAAGTAACAGACACTGCCCCCTTTCCTTCCTGTGCTGCAGCCTATTTCTTCTGTGCTCCAATGGCCATAACACTGCACCCCAATAGCCACAAAAGGCACTCGTGAGACACTCCCTCCCTTCACAGGGCTTCTCTTTTACTCTCTGCTTACCCCAGAGAAACCACTTGGCACTTGTTTAATTTACTTTCTGCTTGGGCTCCTACTTTTAAGTGTAACCTATTTTCTCTGCCCTTCCTTTGTGCCTGAGCAGGTGACACTGGTAACCTGTTTGCCCCGAAGGAGCAATACTTCCTTCAGCCCGTATTTTGGGATCAGCATTGGGGTTTGGTAGCTATGAAATCCCAAAAAAGCCTTAGCAACTGATGGTGGCCAGCAAGGAAAGCCACTGGTGCTGCCATGGAACCCTGTAGCCTTAAACACTGTCTTGAAGGCCCTTGCTCATTTTCCCAGGCAAATGTCAAGGAGCTCCAGGAGAAGCCCCAGTGGAGGGGACCAGATGGGGAAGGCTCAGCCCTTGGCAGGGACCTCACCTGGACAATGCTGGAGAAGCCTTCCACCACCAGCTCCTTAGTCTCGCCTGGCTGCAGATTCATACTCCGTGGCCGCAGCTTAAATACAGGGGTGGCGGGTCTCTGGGAACCATTTTGGCCCTTGCTGACACTGAGGGCAGGGAGAGGATGACGCTGCCGAAAGGTGCTGAAACCTTCTGTGCTCCAGAACAGCCGCTGGAACTGCCGCCCCTTGTTTGTTACTTTGAATCGCAAAATGCAGGGAACGAGGCTGGAGGAGAAGCAGAGATGGAAAAGGTCACGGGAGCTGCTATTTCCCTGCAGTCAAGTGCTCTTAGTGAGCAATCTGAGGTGTTAATAGCTTGGAGACCGTCCTCATTTCCCGCTCTTAATGTGGACCAGAAATAATGTTTGGTGCCCTTCTGATGTTGTTATTGCAAAGAGGAATAGGTTTATACCGGTAATGTAGTATTTCCACATCTTCCCTCACCACAAGGGACTTCCTTCATCACCATGAGCTTTTTCCCCTCACCATCCTGGGCTTCCCTTAATGGATCCAGACTGAAACCATCACTTTGAGAACACTTCATCACCAAGAAGGTCACAAGAAGAGGATCAATAGGATGCCATTGGAATCCATGGAGCAGTGATATTTTCTCTACTTAATTTGTCTCTTTGTCATTCTTTCTCTCCCCCTTTCTCTCTTTTTCCAATTTCTTTCTATCTCTCTCTACCTCACATTTACTGTTAAATAAAAATCCATACTACTGACTTTGGCATACGGTCTCGTTTGCCCCTTAATTTGGGCAGAGGCGTCTCTCTAATAATTTAAGGAACCTGAGCATAACAACATGTTTCTAAAGGAATCTCTGGCTTCAGGGAAACAGAGCCAGGAGCACCGAAGAAGATATAGCCTGAAAGTCTACAGCATAACTGCTCCTTGCTGAGCCAAGAGGAGAGGAAGAAGTTAAGAGATCTCTTACTTGAACTGGGGTTCCAAACTCAGCTCCGGCGCAAACGGTTTGTCAATGGTAATTGTGGTGCCGATGCCCACAGCCTGGATGGGGATGACACTGGTAAGGCTGTTCTCAATGAACAGCTTCATGCTATCCTCAAATCTCCCTGTGTCATCCAGGTTTGCTGTGACAACAATAGGAATCTCAGCCTTGGCAGGGACCACTCCTTCCCTGGGTTCAATCCTCAAGCATCTGTCACCCTGTAAGACAAGCCAAACGTGCATTTAGGGTGGAAACCATGGACCCTGGTGACTTGTGGGGTGTGAGAAAAGGAACGACTACAGAGAGGAGGATAAAAATCATAAAGGCTTCGTTTCCCTAAATCTAAACTACTGTGTCTGGGCAAGAGCAGAGCTTATACAACCTGTATTTTACCCTCCTTTAACCCATTTTAACAGACTTTTCAGTTTTGCCCAACCCAAGGGATGCTCCTCCTCAGGAGAAGGTTATTCCCTCTCCAGTCTTTTCCTGGAGTATGTGCCAAGGGAAGCTACTTTCTCTCTCCTGGCTTGCCCACAACAGAGCTGCGTTTTCACAAAGGCTCAAGGCTGCAGAAAGCCACGACTGCTCCAATCCCACCACAGCAGCTACACAGCTGGAGGATCCTGCTGAGAGCCTGAAGACTAACTCTGCAAAACCACTTGAGCAAAAGCCCAGCACCAAAGTCCTCGCCCCTGAAGGACCAAAGCCCTGGCTTCCCACTGATCATCAGCTGCCAAGAGGTGCCCCAGAGCCCTCTGCTTTGGAAAAGTCAGCTCTAAATGGTTATAGCAGGGCAGGAAAACAGTCAGGAGAAAGAAGACTGCCCTGTGGGCATGGCCCAGCCTTCCCAAACGCTTTGGTCATCTGTTTTCTCATGGATTTCCCTCTATGGAGGGGGTAAGAAAGCTGCAAGCTGCCCCGGGCAGGGAGGGAAGGCCTTATACTGGGACAGCTGTACAGACACAGCTTGACAGGTCCCGGCCTGGTATGAGCATGCAAAAACTATCATTTACACGCCAGCACCACCCATCGAGGTGGCTTGCTCTCTGCAGGGGTGGAGAGCAGAATTTCATTGCGGAGTTGAAGAAAGCTGCACCTGAAATCCCTCACTTGGAGGTTACATTTCCTCCTCAGACACCTAGAAAAGCAGCAAGTGGAAAACTCGCTCTCGTCCTCCTTGGTCCAGGAGGCTGAGCCCGGACTCTCCCCCACTGCCTGATGCTTTATCCACAGACACAACCACGCCCACCGTGTCGGGGCTGGCTTCGACCAGCTCCAGCAGTCCAGCCCACTCAGCATGGTGGAGAACAAGCCCCTCTTCCTAAGCCTGTTTTCCAAGCCCCTCACAGACACCCCTGCAGCAGGGAGCACATCCCAGCCAGCCCAGCCCTGCTGGCTGCACCAGCTCTGCTGCACCAGCTCAGCTCCCCTGCCAGGGGAGCAGCCCCAGCTCCTTCTGCCCTGGGCAGCCTCCACGACTTAAAGAGCCTTTCTCTGCAGCTGCTCTCCACATACTCTGGAACGCTACAGAGGCCACAGGCTCCAGGGGTGCACAACCCCCGCAGGTGGATTTGTGTGCAACAGCCCGGTTGCTCTGAGCCCCAGGAGGGGGAAACTCCTCTCCCCACCCGAAGCTTGAGGACAGACCTCACACCCTGGTCTCTACCATTAACAACACTTTGGCACAAAGCAAATGCAGATGGTATGAGGAAACCATGGGGAAATCCTCGGCCTCTCAGGAGCAAAGGGCCACAGGCTCCTCTTCATCTCGGAGCTCCAAAAATGTGACTTGCACCGTTAAATACCTTCCATAAAATAAAGGGAGAACTTGTAACCACAATCCAGACTCGCTTCTGCTCCTACAACTCTGCAAACTATTCCACTGAAAGCTGTCCCAGCTAAAACCACCTGCAGAGCCAGGCTCCACTTGCCTCGGATGGAATCTCTTGCCTCCTCTCTGCCACAGGGCGATATAGAAACCTTACATATAAAATCCTCCCTGGGCTGCTGCTGACCAGGGAGTTTCACTGGAAAACAGCCCCACAGACACTTACGATCTCTACTCTGAAGGCTGCAGGGATGAGACCCTGATTGCACAGCTGGAGAGTTTGGGAAGTGTCCTGTATCGCTTGGATCTTGCCGAAGTTTATCATATTCACACTTGCATAGACAAGCGGCGTCTCTCCAGTGCACATTAAAC